TGAGGTGGAAGGATCGCCGGAGCCCAGCAGGTCGAGGCTGCGGTGGCCGGGAGCGGCCACAGCACTCCAGTCTGGGTGACAGTGAGACTCCAACTCAACCACAACAAAAAGACACTGTACAGAAAACCCTAGGCCCGTCGGATATGGTGGCTTACGTCTAGAATCCCAGCACTTTGGGACGCTGAGGTGGGAGGATCGCCTGAGCCTGGGAGGTTGAGGCTGTGGTGAGACATGTTCGTGTCACTGCACCCCAGCCTGGGCGACAGAGTGTCACCCGACTCAAAAAAATAAAAAAGAAAACTCTTAGGTCTGAACTCGGCACTCGGGGCCCCAAGTGTGGCAAAGGCTTAATAACCCCCAGTGGAACGTTCCGGTGTGATGGTCACTGCTTTGTTGCCCTGACACCAACAACCTGTGCCGTTTTCCATCCTCTACCTGCTAGTCTCTCCTCACTTGTGTACTCGTCTCGTTGAAGGACTCTTGGTCAGGCACAGTGACTCATGCCTGTAATCCCAGAACTTTGGGAGGCCAAGGCGGAAGGATCGCTTGAGGTCAGGAGTTCAAAACCAGCCGAGGCGACATAGCAAGACCTCGTCTTTACAAAAAAAAAAAAAATCAAAGCATTGTCTGAGTGTGGCGGCACACGCCTGTAGTCCCAGTCACTCGGGAGGCTGAGGCGGGAGGATTGCTTGAACCCAGGAGATTGAGGCTGCAGTGAGCCGTGATCGTGCCACAGCACTTCAGCCTGGGTGACAGAGACTCTAACTCAAAAAAAAAAAAAAGAGACTCGTAGAAGGTAGAATCTCAAGCCTTAAACTTATGAGTAAGGAAAATAATAATTCAGGGTGATGGCCAAATCCCAACTGCCAATCAGAGATGAATTTTTGAGGGGGTCAAGGATGACCCTAAGGTGACCTGCCTACTTTGCGAGATGCTGGAAGTCACGATCTGTCTGTCCCCTTTACATTAAAAAAAAAGAAGAAGAAAGTAGAATCTCATTTGTAGAAGCACAGTTTGCAACATGAATCTGTACACGTCCCTCTTGTCACCTTTTAATACTTTCTGTTCCCCCAAAAGGGGTGGAAAAACGAATTTTGCGCCACTGGAGAAGAAATCAGAGAAGCCAGGTTCCGTTTAGGAGAGCATGACAAACGCTTTTTGTGTCCTCAACCCGATGTCCATTACCGTCTGGCCCGGGTCCACCATGGCCTGCACGAAGCTGCACGACTCGGTGGTGCAGGAGCGCACGGTCTCTGTCCTCCCCTCTCGGAAGAGCCGGGTCATGGAGGCCTCGTACGTGAGGCAGAATTTGCCCATGTCCTGGGGGAGGAGAAGCGTGTCAGAGCGAGGCCGGGCTTGCCGACGAAGCCCAAAGCGCAGGGCAGGACAGTGCCATCTTCCGAGGCCACCAAAATGTTCCTGAGTGCCCTGTCGGCTCCCAGAGACACCCTCAACCTTCTCGTCTTAATGGGGTTCCCCCTCACACACTCACGTTTCTGCCACAGCTGGCTACTAACATCCGACGGAACTCACCATGGGAAATTCACCAAGGAAAGAGACCCTGTCACCGAGCCCCTTGTCCAAGAGCTGTTATGGGAATGGACGTGAAGCTTCAGATGTCTTTTTAGGATCTGTCAAAATGATTGTCTAGGCTGAGGAGGGAGGATCGTCTGAGCCCAGGAGTTCGAGACCAGCCTGGGCAACACGGTGAGACCGAGTCTCTACAAAAAAAATTTAAAAATGAGCTGGGTGTCATGGCTCACACCTGTAATCCTTGCACTTTGTGACGCTGAGGCAAGAGCACTGTCTGAGCCCAGGAATTCGAGATCAGCCTGAGCAACATAGTAAGATCTCATCTCTAAAATAAAAAAAAAAAAAAACTAGCTGGGTGTGGTGGCGTGCACCTGTAGTCCCAGCTACTTGGAAGGTTGAGGTGGAAGGGTCGCTTGAGCCCAGCAGATTGAGACTGTGGTGGCCGTGAGTGTGCCACTGCACTCCAGCCTGGATGACAGAGTGAGACTCTGATGTTAAAAAAAAAAAAAAACAAGGCCAGGCTCGGTGGCTTAGCCTGTTATCCCAGCACTTTGGGAAGCTGAGATGAGTGGATTGCCTGATCCCGGGGGTTCGAGACCTGCCCAGGCAACTTGGTGAGACCTCATCTCTACGATAAATCAAAAAATTAGCCTGGCGTGGTGGTGCGCGCCTGTAGTTCCAACCACTTGGAAGGCAGAGGCGGAAGGATTACCGGAGTCCAGCAGGTTGAGGCTGTGGCGGCCGGGAGTGGCCACTGCACTCCAGTCTGGGCAACAGAGTGAGACTCCAACTCAAAAAAAAAAAAAAATAATAATAATAATAATGGTACATCTTAAGCCGATGCCACAGAACTTCCGCCGCCCTCCAAAATCCAGGGCCCTTCCTGGAATGCTTCCTCACGGGTAGGAAGTCCCATCGCGTCTTCCCACGGGCTGCCTCTTGGACGGGGCCAAAAAGAAAGGTGACAAAAACACCTGGTCCTGCTGGGTGTGCAGTGCCTCCAAGTGGCTGTGGTCACCCCTTTGCGCACGGGGAGGGCAAAGGCCAGGTGCGGGCAAGACTGTGCCCTGAGCGTCTCCGCTTGACCAAATGCTGGGAGTCAGGGCTGGTGTGAAGGTTTAACCTTCCCCGCGTTGAGTGGTGACATCTCACTTTGCCCCTGGCCCCGACTCCTCGCCTCCCAGGTCACACGGGGATCCCAGGGGCCTGCGGACCTCGCCCCTGCGCACAGTGGGCGCCCTACACCACGACGCCTGTGGGGTCCCGGGAGGGCTGTGCTTCTGGCCATCACCCACCCCGCTCCCCCGGCGGGCAAACAGTCTTGGCCACGCCTGGGGACCCCGCGCGCTCATGCTGCAGCCCCGGCCCTCGGCCTCACCTTGTAGTGGGCCAGCTGGAGCGCGAGCTGCACGAAGGCGTCGGGGCTGGTGCGGCACTTCTTGATGACACCTTTCCCGAAGGTGTCGAACGGGAAGGAGTGGAAGTCCACGTCGTCGGCCAGGAGGCTGGCGCTGCTCAGGGCGGTCTCGATGGCCTCTTGACACTGGAGAGAGCGGAGGAGGCGGTTTCGCTTCAGATGGGGGAAAAAGGCTGACACATGGCAGGGCACGGGGGCTCACGCCTGCAATCCCAGCACGTTGGGAGGCCGAGGCGGGAGGATCGCTGGAGGCCAAGCGTTCGAGACCAGTCTGGGCAACACAGTGAGACCACATCTCTATAAGAAATCAGAATGTGCCGGGCTCGGTGGCTCAGCCTGAAATCCGCGCCTTGGGAGGCTGAGGTGAGTGGATTGCCTGAGCCCGCGGGTTCGAGACCCGCCTGGGCAACGAGACCTCATCTCTACAAAAAATAAAAAAATCAGCCGGGCGTGGTAGCGTGCTTCTGTAATTCCGGCTACTCGGAAGGCTGAGGCGGAAGGATCGCCGGAGCCCAGCGGGTCGAGGCTGCGGTGGCCGGGAGTGGCCGCTGCACTCCAGTCTGGGCGACAGAGTGAGACTCCAAGTCAAAAATAAATAAATAAATAAAAGGAAATTAAAAAATTAGGGTGTGGTGGCTCAAGTCTGCAATCCCAGCACTTTGGGAGGCCGAGGCAGGAGGATTGCTTGAGGCCAGGCATTTGTGACCAGTCTGGGCAACATAGTGAGACCAAGTCTCTACAAGAAATCAAAAAATTAGGATTCAGTGGCTTACGCCTGTAACCCCAGTACTTTGGAAGGTTGAGGTGAGAAGACTGCCTGAGTCCAGGGGTTCGAGACCAGCCTGGGCAACATGGTGAGACCTCATCTCTACAATAAATCAAGAAATTATCCGGGTGTGGTGGCTAGAGCCTGTAGTCCCAGCTACTTGGAAGGCTGAGGCAGAAGGATCGCCGGAGCCCAGCAGGTCGAGGCTGCGGTGGCCCTGAGCATGCTACTGCACTCCAGCATGGACAACAGAGTGAGACTCTGACTCAAAAAAAAAATTTAGGCAGGCATGGTGGCGCATGCCTATAGTCCCAACTTCTTGGGAGGCTGAGGCAGGAGGATGCCCCAAGGAAGTTGAAACTGCAGTGAACAGTGATTGAGCCACCGCACTCCAGCCTGGGCAACAGAGTGAGACCCAACTCAGAAATTTAAGAAGTCCCTGGCACTGGTGCCTCAGTGCTGCCCAGTGTTTCCAGGTACATGAGGCTGGGCTGCACCTCAGAGGGCACATAGGTGTTCTAGAAGCTTCGTTCGGGCTCTGCTGGCCTGGAACGCAACGTCAAGGAGTTGGTGAGTCAACATTACAGAGTAAAGAAGATTTCTTAAAACAGGAGCATGCAGCTGGGCTCGGTGGCTCAGCCTGTAATCCCACACCTTTGGGAGGCTGAGGATTACCTGAGCCCGCGGGTTCGAGACCCGCCTGGGCAGCGAGACCTCATCTTTACAATAAATCAAAAATCAGCCGGGCATGGTAGCGCATGCCTGTAATTCCAGCTACTCGGAAGGTTGAGGCGGAAGGATCCTCGGAGCCCAGCCCAGGAGCGGCCACCGCACTCCAGTCTGGGCGACTGAGTGAGACTCCGACTCAAAAAAAAAAAAAATGGAAGCATGTAAATCGGGACGAGGCTGAGGTGGGAGGATCGCTCGGGCCCAGGAGTTTGAGGCTGCCGTGAGTTACAATTGGGCCACTACTCTCCGGCTACACAACAGTGAGATCCTGTTTTAAAAATAGAAAAAAGGCCGGATACAGACTTTTTTTTGAGCCCGAGTCACTCTGCCGCCCAGACTGGAGTGCAGAGGCATGCTGACGGCCACCCCAGCATCCGCCTGCTGGGCTCAGGCGATCCTTCCACCTCAGCCTTCCAAGTAGCGGAACTATAGGCACGTGCTACCACGCCCAGCTGATTTTTTGATTTATCGTAGAGATGAGGTCCCACCAAGTTGCCCAAGCTGGCCTCGAACCCGCAGGCTCAGGCAATCCATTCTCCTCAGCCTCCTAAAGTGCTGAGATGACAGGCTGGGCCACAGAGCCCAGCCTACAGACTTTACTACATCAAAAATAATTTCTTGGGTTCCAGAGCTCCTGCTTGGATTAGAAGAGCCAGGATTTGGCATTTCCGATCCTAAAATTCCTTCCCAAGAGGACTCCTACTAAGTGGGTTATGTCTGATAATCTCCAAAGGAACAAAAATCAAGTTTCAAAAATAATAAATTAGCAACTTAAAGTATTTTACCTCTTAACTCTGTGATTTTTCTTTTTTCTTTTTGAGTCAGAGTCTTACTCTGTCATCCAGGCTGGAGGGCAGGGGCATGCTCATGGCCACCGCAGCCTCCACCTGCTGGGCTCAGGCAATCCTTCTGCCTCGACCTTCCAAGTAACTAGGACTACAGGTGTGCACCACCACGCCCAGCTAATTTTTTTGATTATTATTTTAGAGATGAGGTCTCGCCAAGTTGCCCAGGCTGATCTTGAACCTCTGGGCTCAGGCAATCCCCTCGCCTCGGCCTCCCAAAGTGCTGGGATGACAGGCGTGAGCCACGGCACCTGGCTCGACTTTTTTTTTTTCACTGTGAGCATTTTATAGATGTCGAGCTAAATCTGAGCTGGAAATCTCAATGACAATATTAGCCAAAGCTTTAAATGGAAGAAGAAATATTTACCAAGGCCCCTGAGGCAACGGGGCTGTCACAGCCTCGCAGCCCTGGTGACACTCCCTGGACAAACAACTTTCAGTCTCAATGGGTTTCAAATGAGCTCATGAAAACCCAGGAACCACAGCTGGAAAATTCGCTCGTGAGAGCTTCGATCCGTCTCCCGCCCCAGGTAAGTGGCTACGGCGTGCCAATTCGGACTCACCTCCTCCGGGATGTCCCACTGTAGCCGGGTGGGGTACAGAATGTTCGGGTTGGTGTCTCCCTTACAGTGTCCGTCTTCTGCATAGCCCAGCTGGAAGCTATCAGTGGCCATGACGTACTGCCAAGAACAGAAAGATACAGAGGCGAACTCAGAGGTTATTAGAGCTAACAGCGCTACACAAATTGTGTTTCACCTCTAAGATTTTGTTCGCAGCCTCGACCTGTTGGGCTCCAACGAAACTTCTGGGTCATTTTTTTTTTCACCTTTAAATTTTTTATTTTAAAATTGTGGGGTACACTTCAGGGTTAGGTATACAAATATTCATTGTGCAGGTACCCTTGTTGAAGAGGTGTGATTTTTTTTTTTTTGAGTTGGAGTCTCACTCTAGCCCAGGCTGGAGTGCAGAGGCACGCTCAAGGCCACCGCAGCCTCGACCTGCTGGGCTTCGGCGATCCTTCTGCCTCAGCCTTCCAAGTGGCTGGAACTACAGGCCTGCACCACCACACCCAGCTAATTTTTTGACTTATTGTAGAGACGAAGTCTTGCCAAGTTGCCCAGGCAGATTTCGAACCCCTGGGCTCAGGCAATTCTCTCACCTCGGTCTCCCAAAGCGCTGGGATGACAGGCTGAGCCACCGAGCCCGGCTTATTTATTTTTTTATTATAGAGATGAGGTCTTGCCATGTTGCCAAAGCTGGTCTCGAACCCCTGGGCTCAGGCAATCCTCTCACCTCGGCCTCCCAAAGTGCTGGGATGACAGGCGTGAGCCAGCACGCCTGGCCTTCATCTCCATTTTAGAGGCGAAAAAGACAAGACAGGAGACAGTCAACAGCTTGCCCCAGATCACACACCTGGTTAGAAGCAGAGCCCAGACCCAGATCTGGGCACAGATGTTTGCTGTTCACTGGCGGGTAGACTCAAGACAACTTACTCACCACTGTTTTACGGCACTTTGTATTGGTCAGAACACAATAGCACCGGTGACACCCAGGCGCTGGTGACACAGAGGACAAGAGCTGTGTTTTGTGAATAAAACAGACACGCACTCCTGCCAGCTTTGAGAGGCCGAGGCAGGAGGATCACTTGAGGCCAGGAGCTCGAGTAGGTAAATTGTCAGGGCATCACGGCACACCCCTGTAGTCCCAACTACTTGTGAAGCTGAGGTGGGAGGATGCCTTGAGCTCAGGAGTTTCAGGTTGCAGTGAGGAAGTTCACACCGCTGCACTCAGCCTGAATGACAGTCAGACTTGCCTCAAAAAAAAAAAAAAAAAAAAAAGAAAGAAGTCTTGCCCTGCCTTAAAAAGTAAAATATGCTGGGTGTGGTGGTTCATGCCTATCATCCCAGCACTTTGGGAGGCCGAAGCAAGAGGACTGCCTGAGCCCAGGTGTTCGAGACCCGCCCGGGCAACTTGGTGAGACCTCATCTCTACAGTAAATCAAAAAATGAGCCAGGTGTGGTAGTGCGCGCCTGTAGTTCCAGCTACTTGGAAGGCTGAGGCGGAAGGATCGCCGGAGCCCCGCAGGTCGAGGCTGCGGTGGCCATAAATGTGCCCCTGCCCTCCAGCCTGGGCGACAGAGTGAGACTCCGACTCACAAAGAAGAAAATAAAGCAGGCAGATGTTCCTATTACAAAACCAAGTTCGGTCTGGGGTTTGGCTTTTCAAAAGCGGTTTCTGCGGTCACGTCAAGACGGGACCCACTCACCTCCCAGAGGTGGCCGATGATGGGTGCGTCAGCCCAGGAGTGCTCCGCATTCATTCCCATCTTCCCGTTCTTGAAGACCACGAACGTGAATGACTTGTCAAACCACCTGCGGGAAGCAAACGTGTTTACGGAACTCAAAAAAGGGCGTCGTGTCAACACTGACCGAAATTGACCAAAACCTCCATGTGTGTTTCATCCCAGGTGGAATCATCCACTCTGCACCCGGCCCTCTAACATAGAGCAGGTGTTCCCATCTCTGCGGGATGATGACACACATACAAACAGGACGCCAAGTCCTTCGTTCCTTCCCTGTGCCAGGCACACAGATAAGCACCGATGTTCTGGAGATAAGAAGAGCCAGACGGATTATAGTAATAAGGCAGCTGGGTGCCGGGTGTTGGGGGCTCACGCCTGTCATCCCAGCCCTTGGGGAGCCCGAGGCCGGAGGATTGCTTGAGCCCGGGAATTTGAGACCAGACTGGGCAACAGAGCGAGACCCTGTCTCTACAGATAATGAAGACATTAGCTGGGCATGGTGGTGTGTACCTATAGTCCTAGCTACTCAGGAGGCTGAGACAGAAGGCTTGCCTGAACCCAGAAGGTCAAGGCTGCGGACAGCTGTGATCATGCCATTGCACTCCAGCCTGGGCAACAGAGTGAGACCCCGATCCGAGGGGAAAAAAAGCCAACTGGGGATGAGTCTGAGGCTTTTCGTGTGGGCACACAGCCCCCTCGTCAGCCGATCTGTGCCTCCACTCTGCGGGGAGGCGGACCCAAACTTTACAGATCAGGTAAAGGGGGCTGGAGATCGTCACCTGCCAGTCCCCAGGTCTAAGCCCTCCCCCCAGCCCTGTCACCAGCCTCCCCTGCCTGGGTCGGGCACTGGCAGTCCACGGTGCCATGTTCATCTCCAAACAAAAGTTTGTGTATACAAAAAAGGAAAACCCCAAATCTGCAACTCTAGTTGTGTGTGTGTATCTGCCAGCTTCAGTGGAAGGAAAAAAATTAAATGGTATATTTAATTTATTATTTATTTAACTATATATAATTAATATATTTAATTATATATAATTAAGACATATATATATGGTGTGTATATATATATATTATATCTTAGTATTTGAGTCCCTCTGTCACCCAGGCTGGAGTGCAGGGGCAGAATCATGAGTCATAGCAGCCATGACCTCCTGGGCTCAGGAGATCCCCCCACCCCAGCCTCCCAAGTAGCTGGGACTACAGGCACACGCTGCCACGCCTGGCTAATTTCTTGATTTTTCAAAGAGATAAGGTCTGGCTATGTTGCCCTGGCTGATCTTTAACTCCTGGGCTCAAGTGATCCTCCCACCTTGGCCTCCCAAAGTGCTGGGATGATAGGCGTGAGCCACTATGCCTGGCCATAAGTGCTTTTTTTTGGTGTTAGCTTGTGTCTAGCAGTATAGATTCTCGGGGGCGGATGTCAGTCACATGGGACGTTTCTTCCAAGCTCACAGGCATGCTGCCATCTTTCAGAAGGCGAGGATCCTACCTGTCAAAACACCTGCCGTGCAGCAGAGACTTGGCGTAGCTGTCCATCGACGTGTCTGGGTCCTCTTTCCTATATCCTTGTTTGGTCTCATCCAACGTCACAAAGAAAGCTGCTTTTTCGACGGCGTCAAGAGACTGCTTATTTTTCCCCCGTCCGAAATAGGCCTGGCGACACTTGGCCCAGGGGACTCTGAGGTAAAGATTAAATACAGTTAGACACAGTTGAACCCGTAATAGGTGGCATTTCCTGGCACACGATGTCTGGGATGACACAATGAAAACCTTTGCAGTTTTCAGGAATTTCTTGGAAGAAACTTCCAGGTGGATGATTTTCTCTGACACAGCCTGCCTGCTGCCTAACCTGTTTGCCAGAAGCAACCTCAGTCTCTCATGGTCTCGAGGCCAGAGCTCAGAGCGTGGTGGGTGATTTTTTTGCTAATAAATGCTGAATGAACCCAGGCACGGTGGCACACGCCTGTCATTCCTGCACTTTGGGAGGCAGAAGTGAGAAGACTGCCTGAGCCCAGGGGTTCGAGACCAGCCTGGGCAACTTGGTGAAACCTTGTCTCTACAATAAATCAGAAAACTAGCCAGGCATGGTGGTGCATGCCTGTAGTTCCAGCTCCTTGGAAGGCTGAGGCAGAAGGATCACCTGAGCCCAGCAGGTCGAGGATGCACTGGCCATGAGTGTACCACCGCACCCCAGCCCGGACAATAGAGTGAGACTCCAACTCTAAATAAATAAATAAATAAAATAAAAAATAAATGCTGATTGAGCCAGGCACAGTGGCTCATGGCTGTCATCCTAGCACTTTGGGATGCCGAGGCAGGAAGATCTCTTGAGCCCAAGAGCTCAAGACCAGTCTGGGCAACAGAGCAAGACCTCGTCTCCACAAAAAATTAAAAAAGTTAGCCAGGCTACTAAAAATTAGTTCCACCTACTTGGAAGGCTGAGGTGGAAAGATCGCCGGAGCCCAGCAGGTCAAGGCTGCGGTGGCCACGAGTGTGCCACTGTACTCCAGCCTGGGCGACGGAGTGAGACTCCAACAATAAAGAAGGATGGAAGGAAGGAAGAGAATTAAAAATAAATGCTGAATGAGCCAGGCATAGAGGCTCACTCCTGTCATCCCGGCACTTTGGGAGGCCGAGGTGGGAGGACTGCTGGAGCCCAGGAGTTCAAGACCAGCCTGGGTAACATAGCGAGACCTCATCTCCACAAAAAATAAAAAAATTAGCCGGGCATGGTGGCATGTGCCTGTAGTCCCAGCTACGTGGGAGGCTGAGGCAGAAGGATCCCTTGAGCCCAGGAGGTTGAGGCTGCCGTGAGCCATGATTGTGCCACTGCAATCTTAGTGAGAGTGAGACTCCAACTCAAAAAAATGCGAATGAAGGGATGACCAGGAGGCAGACGGGCCCTGAGAATGGCAGACTCAGTGCACAGTGCTCCACATTAAACACCTTTCCCTGTATCCCGCCCCCGCCCATGGGAACCATCCTATCAAATCTTGGCAGCAAAGAGTCACAGTAAACACGCAAGGGCATCCTCCATGCCAGACTGTGCTCTAAGCCTTTTCCACGCACCAACTCGCTGATCTTCTCAACGCTACCACGCCCATCTTTCAGATGGGGAAACTGAGACACAGAGCGATAGGTCATAGTGACTACGTGGCAGAGAGAGATTCAAACCCAGGCCGTCAGACCCCAAATCCATGCCACAGATGACCACATGACTCCAGTCCGACGATGAGGTCCCTGCCCATTTTTTTTTTTTTTTAAGTTGGTCTCACTCTGTCGCCCAGGCTGGAGGGCAGTGGCCGCTCCCGGCCACCGCAGCCTCGACCTGCTGGGCTCCGGCGATCCTTCCACCTCAGTCTTCCAGGTAGCTGGAACCATAGATGCACGCCACCACACCCGGCTAATTTTTTGATTGATTATAGAGACGAGGTCTCGCCTAGTTGCCAGGCTGACCTCAAACCCCAGGCTCAGGTAATCCCCTCACCTCAGCCTCCCAAAATGCTGGGATGACAGGCTCGAGCCACCACACCCAGCCAGTGAGTGGTTTTAACTACAACCTCCGTTCCCATCCCTCTACAAACCCCATCAGTGAAAGGCAGGCTCATGTTTGACTCACTCCTGCAGAGAGAGAGAGGCCCACCCTTCAGGGCCCGAGGGCCTGGCAGGCGTCCGAAGCTTCCTGGGAGCCAGGTGGAAGGCAGAGGCCCTCTCCAGGTCGGCCAGCTCCCTGAGCATACAGGACTGTCAGGCTGGGCCTCCCTGCTTAGACACACATGGGTCCCACATTTCTGCATGGAAGGCAGGAAAAGGCAGTGATTCCTATCTGTCACCCATTGGATTTTGTTTTTTTAAGAGATGAGGTCTCACTATGTTGCCCAGGCTGGACTAGAACTCTTAGGCTCAAGTGACTCCCCCCTCAACCTCTCAAGGAGTCTCAAGAAGACTCACAGAAACTATTATTATTTTTTTCAAAGTTGGAGTCTCACTGTGTCGCCCAGGCTGTAGTGCAGTGGCACACTTATGGCCACCCCACCATTGAACTACTGGGCTCAGGCAATCCTTCCACCTCAGCCTTCCAAGTAGCCGGAACTACAGGCATGCGCCACCACGCCTGTTTAATTTGTTTTATTTTATTGTAGGGATGAGGTCTCACCAAGTTGCTCAGGCTGGTCTCGAACCCACAGGCTCAGGCAATCCACTCACCTCGGCCTCCCAAAGTTCTGGGATGACAGGCTGAGCCACGGAGCCTGGCCCCCTGTGCCCACTTTAACTGGGATCCGCAAAGCCACTGCGACACTCAGGCCCTTCTTTTAATTTTTTAGTTGGAGGTCTTACTGTTTTCATCTCCTTGGGAGGCTAAGCTGGGAGGATTTCTCGAGGCCAGGAGGTTGAGGCTGCAGTGAGCTGTGATCATGCCACAGAGTGAGACCTTGACTCAAATAAATTCATTGGCTGGGCTTGGTGGCTCAGCCTGTCATCCCAGCACTTTGGGAGACTGAGGCGAGTAGATTGCCTGAGACTGTGGGTTCGAGACCAGCCCGGGCAACTTGGCAAGACCTCATCTCTACAATAAATAAAAATTAGCCAGGCGTGGTAGTGTCTGTCTGTAGTTCCAGCTAACTGGAAGGCTGAAGCAGAAGGTCGATGCTGGGGTGGCCATGAGTGTGCCACTGCACTCCAGCCTGGGTGACAGATTGAGACACCAACTGAAAAATAATAATAATAATAAAATAAAATAATAAATTCATGAATTCAGTTTAATAAACCAGTTTCATTCATTCACTCCTGTCACGTGCCCTCGTGTCTCCACGTGCACATGTGCTTGTCACACACACAGCTGGCCGGGGGACCCCAGCATGTCCTCACTGCTTTGGTGACCTGCTGGGCCGGGAGTGGAACCAGCGGCCACGTAAGGAGGAGCGCCACGGAGTGCCTCCGCCACCCCCAGAAACATGGCAGGGGACGGACAGCCTCACCTGTCCCCTGCGGTGAGGGCCGCCAGCCTGGCCTCCCCCGGCTGAGGTTCCGACGGGTCATCCAGGATCTTCTGCATCTGTTGTTCGATCTCCCGTGGCCTCAGCAGCCGCCCGTCGTGGTACAGCCAGACCTTGAAGTAGCGTCCCCTGTGGTACACGACGATGTGCTTGCTGTCCTTGATGTGCTGGATGGTGTCTGGGCGTGCCATGGGGGTGGGGAGCAGAGACACAAAACTCAGCGTCAGAAGGTCAGAGTGGCTCCCAGGCCATCACGGCCTTGTTAATGGCGCGCGACTCCTAACACTGCCTTACCGCATTCTGTTTTTGTCGTTGTTGTTTTCTGAGTTGGGGTCTCGCTCGGTCGCCCAGGCTGCAGGTGCAGTGGCACGATCACGGCTTACCGCAGCCTCGACCTCCTGGGCTCAGGGGATCCTTCCGCCTCAGCCTCCTGAGTAGCTGAGCTGACAGGTGTACGTCCCCCTACCCCAGCTAAATTTTTTTTATTTTCTGGAGAGACGAGCTCTTGCTGTGTTGCCCAGGCTGGTCTTGAACTCCCGGGCTCAATGATCCTCCCACCTTGGTCTCCCAAACTGCTGAATTTGCAGGGGTGAGCCACTGCGCCTGGCATGCATTCAGTTTGATAAGCCAGTTTCTCAAGACTGTTTAAACAACTAAGTATAGGACAGAGTTGAGAGCTCTGGGATCCAACCCTCCTGACTTCTAAGCTTGGCCTGGCCGCTCATTAGATGCAATCAAACCTCTGTAAGACCTCAATTTTCTCACCTGTAAAATTGAGATAATACTCATGTCTCTTATGTGGTTGTACAAAAATTAAGAGATAATATCCATAAAGGCCAGATAAAGTCAGCATTCAAGCAAAGCAGTTATTAAATTCATTAATTACAACAGGGAAACTTAGAAAATGTTCTGAGAAACATTCTGAGAACTGTTTCCGAGGCCAGGTGTGGTAGCTCACGCCTGTCATCCCGGCACTTTGGGAGGCCGAAGCAAGAGGATTACCTGAGCCCACGGGTTCGAGACCAGCCTGGGCAACATGGTGAGATCTTGTCTCTACAATAAATCAAAAAATTAGCCGGGTGTGGTAGCGCGCGCCTGTAGTTCCAGCTACTTGGATAGCTGAGGCGGGAGGATCGCCAGAGCCCAGCAGGTTGACCCTGGGGTGGCCTTGAGTGTGCCACTGCACTCCAGCCTGGGTGACGGAGTGAGACTCCAACCCAAAAAGAAAAAAAAAAAAGGCCGGGCTCAGTGACTCAGGCTGTCATCCCGCGCCTTTGGGAGGCTGAGGTGAGTGGATTGCCTGAGCCCGCGGGTTCGAGACCCGCCTGGGCAGCGAGACCTCATCTCTACAATAAATCAAAAAATCAGCCGGGAGCAGCCACTGCACTCCAGTCTGGGCGACAGAGTGAGACTCCAACTCAAAAAAAAAAAAAAAAAAATTAGCTGGGTGTGGTAGCGCACGTCTGTAGCTCCAGTGACTTGGGAGGCTGAGGCGAAAGAATCACAGGAGCCTGCAGGTCAACACTGGGGGGGTGGCTGTGAGCGTGCCAATGCCCTCCAGCCTGGGCAACGGAGTGAGACTCCAACTCAAAAATAAAAAACAAATAAAATAAATAAAAAATGACTGGGGTCCCTATACCCTCGTGTAGAGGCTGAATATGGTCCATTCACTCATATGCTGAAGTCCCAACCCTGCACCTCAGAACGTGACCTCCTTGGGAGATGGGTCTTTAAAGAGGTAATTAAGGCAAAATGAAGTCTCCAGGCTGGGCCCTAATCCCAAGTGACTGGTGTCCTTTAAAGAAGAGGCGATTAGGACACAGACACGCACAGAGAACTGAGTGTGTGAGGACACAGAGGGAACACAGCTGTCCATAAGCTAAGGAAAGAGGCCTCCGAGGACATCCAGCCTCCAGGTCTGAAAGCAAAGAAAGGTCTGCCACTTAAGCTACTCCGTCTGTAGCATTTCTCCTGGCAGCCTGAGCAAAGTCAGTAACCAACAACTTGAAAATATACTTGAGGTCCGGCGTGGTGGCTCACGCCTATAATCCAAGCACTTTGGGAGGCCGAGGTGAGAGGATTGCCTGAGCCCGTGAGTTCGAGACCAGCCCAGGCAACTTGGCAAGACCTCGTCTCTACAATAAATAAAAAAATAAGCTGGGCATGGTGGCGCATGCCCGTAGTTCCAGCTACTTGGAAGGCTGAGGCGGAAGGATCGCTTGAGCCCAGCCGGTCGAGGCTGCGGTGACCATGAGCACCTCCAATCTGGGCGACAGAGTAAGACTCCAACTCAAAAATAAAAATAAAAGAAAATATACTTGAGGTGGGTGCAATGGCTCACACCTATAACCCCCACACTTTGGAAGGCCGATGTGGGAGGATCACTTGAGCTCAGGAGTTCAAGACCAGCCTGGGCAACATAGCAAGACCTTGTCTCTACAAAAAAAAAAAAAAAAAAATCAAAAAGTTAGCCAGGTGTGATGGCGCACACCTGTAACCCCAGCTACTTAGGAGGCTGAGGTGGAAGGATCGTCTGAGCCCAGGAAGTTGAGGCTGCAGTGAGCCATGAGAGGGCACTGTAATCCAGCCTGGGCAATAGAGTGAGATCCCAACTCAAAAAAAAAAAGCGCCGAGAAGATTCGGCAGAAGCAATGTTGACCAACCTAAAATCCTAGGAAAGGTTGGTACAGGTCAAGCTGGTCCCTTGGACACCCCCTAATTCAGAGCATAAGGATCGGACACCCTCTAATTCAGAGCATCTGGATCCCGAGGAAGTCTCTCTCACCTGTTTCTTCTCCCGGGATTCGAGATGTATTAAACATTCGCTCCCACTGAGCGGAACAGAGTGGGATGGTGGACCCCAAAAGACGAATCTGTAATGAGAATATGGTTCAGACCAACAGATGAACACACCACAGGGCGATAAAAAAAAAGGGGGTGGGCAAACGTCACACATTTAATGGCTGGATCTGTTTTCTGTTCTCAGGGGCTTGACTTAATCTTTTAATTGTTTCCTGGGGGTAGTTTATTGGGGGCCTTGCCAGGGCACAGCTCCCTGCATAGCTAAATCCTAAATAACACAGTCTAATCCATTATTTTTATTTATTTATTTATTTATTTTTGAGTTGGAATCTCACTCTGTTGCTCCCGGCCACCGCAGCCTCGACCTGCTGGGCTCCGACGATCCTTCCGCCTCAGCCTTCTGAGTAGCTGGAACTACAGGGGCGCGCTACCACGCCCGGCTGATTTTTTGATTTATTATAGAGATGAGGTCTCGCGGCCCAGGCGGGTCTCGAACCCACGGGCTCAGGCAATCCACTCACCTCAGCCTCCCAAAGGCGCGGGATTATAGGCTGAGCCACCGAGCCCGTCTTAATCCATTATTTATAAACTGACACTTCAACCAACTGGAGACAAGATTTCACTATGTTGTCCAGGCTGGTCTGGAACTCCCAGCTTCCAAGCAATCCTGCCCCAGCCTCCCGAGTAGCTGGCACTACAGGCACACACCACCACGCCTGGCTAATTTTTGAATTTTTCATAGAGACAAGGCCTCACTATGTCACCCATGCTGGTCTTGAACTCGTGGTCTCAAGTGATCCTCTTGGCTTGGCCTCCTAAAGTGTAGGGATTAAAGGTGCAAGCCAGCCGGGCTCGTTGGCTCAGCCTGTAATCCCGCGCCTTGGGAGGCTGAGGTGAATGGATTGCCTGACCGTGGGTTCGAGACCCGCTTGGGCAACTTGGTGAGACCTCATCTCTACATAAATAAAAAATTAGCTGGGCGTGGTAGTACACGCCTGTAGTTCCAGCTACTTGGAAAGCTGAGGCAGATGGATCGCTGGAGCCCAGCAGGTCGAGGCTGCGGTGGCCGGGAGCGGCC